GTTGTGTATTGACAACTCTTCAACACAGTTACATTCATGTGTTATGCATTGACAACTCTTCAACACAGTTACATTCATGTGTTATGCATTGACAACTCTTCAACACAGTTACATTCATGTGTTATGCATTGACAACTCTTCAACACAGTTACATTCATGTGTTATGCATTGACAACTCTTCAACACAGTTACATTCATGTGTTATGCATTGACAACTCTTCAACACAGTTACATTCATGTGTTATGCATTGACAACTCTTCAACACAGTTACATTCATGTGTTGTGTATTGACAACTCTTCAACACAGTTACATTCATGTGTTGTGTATTGACAACTCTTCAACACAGTTACATTCATGTGTTGTCTATTGACAACTCTTCAACACAGTTACATACATGTGTTGTCTATTGACAACTCTTCAACACAGTTGGGTACCGGGGCCGTGGGTTAGCCTAGTGGTTAAAGCGTTCTCTCGTCATGCCGATTCCCAATATGGGTAAAATGTGTGAGGCCCATTTCTGGTGTCCCCCGCCGTGATATTGCTGGAATAATGCTTAAAGCGGCACTCATTGGGTACTGTCCTGCTGTGGACAGACGTGACGCATATAGAACAGTTTCATACCTCCGAATGAATGAGTGAGTATGGTTTAAGCCGTTTTTAGCAATATTCCAGCAATATTCCAGCAATATCGGGTTGCTTCAGACATTATCACATGTGGCCGGGTGCATGTTCACTGCTCCCGCTGGACCTTTTGAGGAAACCTCTTCATGATATGTTAAGTCTACCTTTGTCGTGCATGGGAAATTTTGTGTTAGCAAGAATATCCAATTGTTCATTAAAGCACGGTAGCATTAACTAGTGAATCAGGTTTCCCATTAACAAATCACTTTTACAGGGCACTAGTGGTCTTCCCCACAGAAAGATGTAATTAGGTAGTTCAGTGGTTCATGCGTTTGCTTGCACAGAATAAGACCGGATTCAATCTCCGTCATGCATGCGTGGACATTGGCAGATATGCATATGTCATCGACTGATCAGTTCCGTGTCTACTCGGGCTAACACAGGTCTCCGGGCGCCGTTGCTGGTCTGAAGAGGAAGATATATTCGATTCAGTGGTGGGCTGTGACTTTCCTGCCTACTTGTCATCCTGTCCTGGTGGCACAGATCGTTGCCTTTAGGTACTAGTTTGCCCGAGCCAGAATCCACTATTTACAGACCGTCTTGTTATAGTTGTGCTTGTTCTTACGCTGCCTGGCGCTCGGCATTAAGGGGCTAAAACAAGGAGTCAGTATACTGTGTCTGAGTTGGGTATCCATGGTATTCGGTGGGCTAGCACCATAAAATCGGCATCAGTCCGGACTAGTACAAGCGCGCGCGCACACACACACACACACACACACACACACACACACACACACACACACACACACACACACACACACACAACGCATGTACATCGCTAATTATGTGCAACAATCTTGGACGCGACTTTAAACCCCACCTCTGATGGGCATGACTGTGTCATTAACCAAGTGGGTGGAACATGTGGCCTAATGCGCCGTGTGTTAGAATTGCACGTATTCGACCCGAGTATTACCTCCCGTGCTCGTTGGTTTCCTCGGTGTTGTAAAAGTGTGACCATGTTTCAGTCTGATCTTTCCTACACATTAAGACGCAAAGAAAAAGCCATAGCATCAGCCAGGATCAGGTGTCATGGTTGGTCGATATACCAGACATTTAAAATCTGGTGTAGTGACGTATCATACCGCCTTGCGACTTAACAGGGCCAAAGAAGCGAAAGTACATGGCAACAGCTTCAAAAACGTCACGTCAACCTCTGTAAGATCAAAATTGAAAACATTATCAATGGAATTTCGAGTACCTGAAATATGCAATGACTTTATGAGTGAGATAGTGAGGGGTTAAACGACGATTTTAACAGTTTTACGGTTATATCGTGGCGTGTCAGCTTAATGTTGGAGGAAAGGTCTCAGACGTTTACCACTTCGGTGGAACCCACGAGCACGGGTATTGTGCTGACAAACCTAGAAACATAATCGGGGCGAACCGGGATTAGAACCCACAATCACAGGTTTCTAGCGCAACTCTGCCATCCATGCCCCAATGACGTTTATGAAGATATATTAAATACAAAGTCAATTTGTTATAATTGTTGCTAATGTGACAGCTTTACGGGAGTACGTTTCTAACAACAATACTATTGTAATTGCCAAGCTAACGAGGTTTTGTCAGGGTAAAGTCAAAATTATCCGATATGTAGCCAACTAAATATTAAGCATTGAATGACTTCAACTCATTCCATGACAGAGCGGGTGGCCCTGTGGTTTCTGCATGACAGAACGGCAGGCCCTGTGGTGTCTGCATGACAGAACGGGTGGCCCTGTGGTTTCTGCATGGCAGAACGGGTGGCCCTCTGGTTTCTGCATGACAGAACGGGTAGCCCTGTGGTTTCTGCATGACAGAACGGGTGGCCCTGTGGTTTCTGCATGACAGAACGGGTAGCCCTGTGGTTTCTGCATGACAGAGCGGGTGGCCCTGTGGTTTCTGCATGACAGAACGGCAGGCCCTGTGGTTTCTGCATGACAGAACGGGTGGCCCTGTGGTTTCTGCATGACAGAGCGGGTGGCCCTGTGGTTTCTGCATGACAGAACGGCAGGCCCTGTGGTTTCTGCATGACAGAACGGGTGGCCCTGTGGTTTCTGCATGACAGAACGGGTAGCCCTGTGGTTTCTGCATGACAGAACGGGTGGCCCTGTGGTTTCTGCATGACAGGATCCGCAGGGTCGTGGGAAGGTTCTCCAGATTTGTTCCGGCTGTGATTTCTGGGCTGTCATTCCCCTGGTCTGATGTGTTAAAGGTCACTCCTGCTTTCCTGTTCTGATATTACTGTATGTAGTGCTTTCAAAACAGCTTTAAACCCCAAACACTCATCAACAAAGCTTCAGCTATACTCGCAATACAATACATAGTAAAACTAACATGTGTTTACGAATGTTTCACCTTACTCTGAAACGAAATTAAATCAGAAATACGATTACAGGGAGCTTAGTGGGTCCTTATTGTTCACAATACTGATCAACTGCGAGACTTGACACCTACAGCGATAGCAAGTTGAGAAATATGGTTTCGTTATCATCTGTGTAGAAATCACGTAAATGGAGGGGTCAGATTGACAAAAAGAACTCTGCTTTTAGTAAAGATTTATTATGATTATTGAAAGGTTTTTGTCGCGTTATAGGTTTATGTCAAAAGTGATTTAGTGGGCAGTGATTTAAGCCAGATGTGTGTAATATTCTGCACAACGTTTGGGATATAACGTTTAGCACTTTGGTGAAACCCATGAGCACGGGATTTGTGCTGACAAACCTCGAAACATAATTGGGGCGAACCGGGATTAGAACCCACAATCAAGGGACGCAACTCTGCACAGCGAATTGCGGCGCCTTAGTACTGCCAGGGAACTAACATATTCAACTTCATTTCTAGTTAAAAACAACCTGCCTTTCTAAGTATCCTCATCAAGGGTTGAGAAGCACACTTCATAGCACTATGCAGAGAAAAACATTTTAAGAGTGAGTGAGTGAATATGGTTTTACGTCTTTTGGAATTATATAGTGTTTCGTTATATTACTTTCATGTTGCTGTGGGAGACTTTGCATGGCTTTAAGTTTATCACTGTAGTGAAACCAATTAATGTGACAGCTCTGTACAGCGAATCGCGGCACCTTAGACTACTTACTAAAGGACAGAAAGTATTTGGTGTATACTTCGCAATGTAAAATCAATGCTTTATTCCATTTGCTGTATAGTTGAGCATTTTAATCTCATTTATAAGTATAGAAAAGAAATAAACAGAAAACCGTTCATGAAATTTAATACTCAAACATTGCTTGTCTGAGTATTTGATACACACAGTATTAGACGGTACTGTGACGTCATTGTGGCCATATACGTTGTGTATTTGTTGTTTAGCGCCGCACTCAGCATATTCCAGCCATATGACGGCGGTCTGTAAAATAATAATCTCGCCTGGAACAGACAATCCAGTGAGGTGAGGTGAGGTGAAGGTAGGTTTAACGTCGCGTCCAAGATTATTGCACTTATATAGCGACGTGCATGCACGTGTGTGTGTTGCTGCTTGTACTAGACCGGTCTGATGCCGATTTATAGTGCTAGCCCACTGAGATACCATGCCGCAGTTTAACATGAATACCCCACTCAGACACAGTATACTGACTCCGAGCCGACCAGTCCTAGCTTTAACCCCTTAATGCCGAGCGCCAGACAGGGTAACAACAAGTACCATCTTTTCACGTCTTTTGGTATGGCGCGGCCGGGGATCGAACCCCGGACCTTCCACTCTCCGGGCGGACGCTCTAGTCCACGGAGGCGGCCCAATCCAGTGACTGACATCATGAGCATCGATCCACGCAATTGGGATACCATGACATGCATCAACCAAGTCAGGGAGCCTGGCCACCTAACCCCGTTGGTCGCCTCTTCCGACTAGCATGGGTTTTTGTAGGCTTATTCTAACCCGGGTCTTCACGAATGCCCTATACTTTGAGCAGTGTATTGAGCCGGAATCGACTCGGACAAATCATTCCTAGTGATGTTCATTCCGCTTTGTGAAGGATATGTTTTAATCTTCTTTACCTGTTTCAATACATGCCTATGGACTCAGATATGCATTAAACGCAAAGATGTATACAGTGATGAAATATATTTATGGTGATGTTGCGCTTTAACATCAATGGTGTGCGTTCGTGCGTGCGTGCGTGCGTGCTTACGTGCGTACGTGCGCGTGTAACGTAACACAAAGATTCTTGCGATGTCAAGCGTTGGTAAAGTGATATATATATTTTTTACCGAGGCAGATAGGAACATTCGTACGACATCATGAGTAGGGTAGAGTCCATAGCCACAGCCTACATTCTAGGTCAGAAGTTAAAGTGACTCAAGTCTTCACAGGTAAGAGATAACACGCTGGAAGTGCAGGGTGGTAGAGGGTGAATATTGCACACTTGTTTTATATCGTGTTTCTGGTTCAGTCTTCTGTTCACATGCTAAGCTGCGGAAATACTCATCACAAGTCAGTTTCTACGTTTATCTGAGGAGGTGAGTGTGTGTCTGTGACCAGGGAGTGACTAACCTCCACCAAACAGGGTGAGAGGGGAAGGTACGAATGTAATCTCAGTAGTGCTACCCATTATTACTGATTTCAACAAGTATTCATTTCATCAAAGACGAACTGAGCTTCCTGTTGGTACTGTTGAAGTAAGACATGCCAGGGTGTGTTGAATCTCCCCTCGTGACATGTACAGATGTCAGACGTCCAGGGACCTGTTATCTATGGGCACTATCTCTCCTTGAACAACAACCACAATGGCGGACGTTTGTGATTTGTTTGAGGAAATTCGTATTCCCCATACCACTGTGACCTTGATGAATTTTGTAATGTCAGTTTATCAGAGTTTTTTATGTAGTATCATAACTTACCTTTTATTATATTTATCAATAATGTCATTCATTCATTCATTCATTCATTCATTCATTCATTCATTCATTCATTCATTCATTCATTCATTCGTGTGTTGCTGGCATGAAGTGAATATGTCTGTTTTATGGCAATATGATATACTTGAAGTTAGTAGTATGTTATGATCTCTGTATTAACTCTTCAACATGGCTGTGGATATTGTTGCACCTGTGCTTACAGCTGTGGTATTGTCAACGCTCATGTTGACGCGGAATTGGCTTTTAGGGGAATCAAGGACAAAATCGACATCACTGTCCCGAAACGTTTTATGTACAACATGTTAACAATACACAACAAATACACAATGAGCGGATTACCTGCTCTGTCAACACAAACACAGCGATGAGCGGACCTTCGACCTCAGGCATACATGAGGTGCGCGGAGCTCCAGCTCAACCTCATGACGTTTTCTACGAGCGCCACATCCTGCTCGAGGTCGTCCATACACCAGCACTTGGAATACCAAGCTGACTAACAGTGTAATGGTAACACATATATAGTAATGAAAAACAATGGACAGCTCAGGGGATGAACAATTAAGGCTATAAATGTCATACTATAAATAACAGTAATTAACCGAGGTGATATGGTAGCCTAGGTTGGCTGAAAATGCTGAAGGTTGAAAATAAATAACACATGAAATTCATTATGAAGATAATCAAGATTTCTTGATCTGAAACACACACAGTCTGTGTTTAAAGTCTGTATTATGAGAGAAATACGACAGACAACAGGATGAGATAATTAAACAATATTGTGTGCAAACTAAAAATTACAATGTCAATATACATGTAGCTAGTATGAAAGGCAATATACCAGTGTAGACGTTCACAAGAGCCAAAGGATGACGCAGTGAAGATGCAATAAGGAATTACTGACCAGTCCTGGCGAAAGTCCCGACAGTGTACAAAACAAGTGAGGACAGGCAGAGGTGAGCCTGGAGTGTTACAATGGAGTCCACAGTACATCATGCTCATTAATTCAACTTTCCACGCGATCACTGCGCTTCATCACCTGGTCAGGTTACTTCAACTTCTTTGATAGGCATATAGAAGTTGGAGTACCAAGTAATGATGCGATTTATGGATGAACAACTTCTTTATTACAATTAAGAGCGACCTGTATATCTACTTGTCAACCATACTCTGTATATCACTTGCTTGATAATGGTGTTAGAACTTACACCGAAACGTCGCTATTAATTGTAATAAAGAAGTTGTTCATCCATAAATCGTATCCTTACTAAGTTACTTCAAATATCTTACTGTTTCAGCATGTGGCTGACTCCGGTGACATGGCTACTTTTGGGTGTAACTCATGTAAGTAAAGAATAAACTTATGTATCGATTTCCTTTACCAAGGTCAACCTGTGTTCCTCTGTCCCATGTCTCACTGATGTCTCCCCCGCCTACCCCCCCCCCCCCCCCCCCCCCCCCAAAGCCTAGGGCCCTCTGTCCCATGTGTCACTGATGCCCCCAACAAGGCCTGGGGCCCTCTGTGCCGTGTGTCACTGATGCCCCCCACAAGGCCTGGGGCCCTCTGTGCCGTCTGTCACTGATGCCTCCCACAAGGCCTGGGGCCCTCAGTCCCATGTGTCACTGATGTCTCCCACAAGGCCTGGGGCCCTCAGTCCCATGTGTCACTGATGCCCCCCACAAGGACTGGGGCCCTCTGTCCCATGTGTCACTGTTGTCTCCCACAAGGCCTGGGGCCCTCTGTCCCATGTGTCACTGTTGCCTCCCACAAGGCCTGGGGCCCTCAGTCCCATGTGTCACTGATGTCTCCCACAAGGCCTGGGACCCCCAGTCCCATGTGTCACTGATGTCTCCCACAAGGCCTGGGGCCCTCTGTCCCATGTGCCACTGATGTCTCCCACAAGGCCTGGGGCCCTCTGTCCCATGTGTCACTGATGTCTCCCACAAGGCCTGGGGCCCTCTGTCCCATGTGTCACTGATGTCTCCCACAAGGCCTGGGGCCCTCAGTCCCATGTGTCACTGATGTCTCCCACAAGGCCTGGGGCCCTCTGTCCCATGTGTCACTGATGTCTCCCACAAGGCCTGGGGCCCTCTGTCTCATGTGTCACTGATGTCTCCCACAAGGCCTGGGGTCCTCTGTCCCATGTGTCACTGATGTCTCCCACAAGGCCTGGGGCCCTCTGTCCCATGTGTCACTGATGTCTCCCACAAGGCCTGGGGCCCTCAGTCCCATGTGTCACTGATGTCTCCCACAAGGCCTGGGGCCCTCAGTCCCATGTGTCACTGATTTCTCCCACAAGGCCTGGGGTCCTCAGTCCCATGTGTCACTGATGTCTCCCACAAGGCCTGGGGCCCTCTGTCCCATGTGTCACTGTTGCCTCCCACAAGGCCTGGGGCCCTCAGTCCCATGTGTCACTGATGTCTCCCACAAGGCCTGGGGCCCACTGTCTCATGTTTCACTGATGTCTCCCACATGGCCTGGGGCCCTTCTGTCCCATGTGCCACTGATGTCTCCCACAAGGCCTGGGGCCCTCTGTCCCATGTGTCACTGATGTCTCCCACAAGGCCTGGGGCCCTCAGTCCCATGTGTCACTGATGTCTCCCACAAGGCCTGGGGCCCTCTGTCCCATGTGTCACTGATGTCTCCCACAAGGCCTGGGGCCCTCTGTCTCATGTGTCACTGATGTCTCCCACAAGGCCTGGGGTCCTCTGTCCCATGTGTCACTGATGTCTCCCACAAGGCCTGGGGCCCTCTGTCCCATGTGTCACTGATGTCTCCCACAAGGCCTGGGGCCCTCAGTCCCATGTGTCACTGATGTCTCCCACAAGGCCTGGGGCCCTCAGTCCCATGTGTCACTGATGTCTCCCACAAGGCCTGGGGCCCTCTGTCCCATGTGTCACTGTTGCCTCCCACAAGGCCTGGGGCCCTCAGTCCCATGTGTCACTGATGTCTCCCACAAGGCCTGGGGCCCACTGTCTCATGTTTCACTGATGTCTCCCACATGGCCTGGGGCCCTTCTGTCCTATGTGTCACTGATGTCTCCCACAAGGCCTGGGGCCCTCTGTCCCATGTGTCACTGATGTCTCCCACAAGGCCTGGGGCCCTCTGTCTCATGTGTCACTGATGTCTCCCACAAGGCCTGGGGTCCTCTGTCCCATGTGTCACTGATGTCTCCCACAAGGCCTGGGGCCCTCAGTCCCATGTGTCACTGATTTCTCCCACAAGGCCTGGGGTCCTCAGTCCCATGTGTCACTGATGTCTCCCACAAGGCCTGGGGCCCTCTGTCCCATGTGTCACTGTTGCCTCCCACAAGGCCTGGGGCCCTCAGTCCCATGTGTCACTGATGTCTCCCACAAGGCCTGGGGCCCACTGTCTCATGTTTCACTGATGTCTCCCACATGGCCTGGGGCCCTTCTGTCCCATGTGCCACTGATGTCTCCCACAAGGCCTGGGGCCCTCAGTCCCATGTGTCACTGATGTCTCCCACAAGGCCTGGGGCCCTCAGTCCCATGTGTCACTGATGTCTCCCACAAGGCCTGGGGCCCTCTGTCTCATGTGTCACTGATGTCTCCCACAAGGCCTGGGGTCCTCTGTCCCATGTGTCACTGATGTCTCCCACAAGGCCTGGGGTCCTCTGTCCCATGTGTCACTGATGTCTCCCACAAGGCCTGGGGCCCTCAGTCCCATGTGTCACTGATGTCTCCCACAAGGCCTGGGGCCCTCAGTCCCATGTGTCACTGATGTCTCCCACAAGGCCTGGGGTCCTCAGTCCCATGTGTCACTGATGTCTCCCACAAGGCCAGGGGCCCTCTGTCCCATGTGTCACTGTTGCCTCCCACAAGGCCTGGGGCCCTCAGTCCCATGTGTCACTGATGTCTCCCACAAGGCCTGGGGCCCACTGTCTCATGTTTCACTGATGTCTCCCACATGGCCTGGGGCCCTTCTGTCCTATGTGTCACTGATGTCTCCCACAAGGCCTGGGGCCCTCTGTCCCAAGTGTCACTGATGTCTCCCACAAGGCCTGGGGCCCTCTGTCTCATGTGTCACTGATGTCTCCCACAAGGCCTGGGGTCCTCTGTCCCATGTGTCACTGATGTCTCCCACAAGGCCTGGGGCCCTCTGTCCCATGTGTCACTGATGTCTCCCACAAGGCCAGGGGCCCTCAGTCCCATGTGTCACTGATGTCTCCCACAAGGCCTGGGGCCCTCAGTCCCATGTGTCACTGATGTCTCCCACAAGGCCTGGGGCCCTCAGTCCCATGTGTCACTGATGTCTCCCACAAGGCCTGGGGCCCTCTGTCCCATGTGTCACTGTTGCCTCCCACAAGGCCTGGGGCCCTCAGTCCCATGTGTCACTGATGTCTCCCACAAGGCCTGGGGCCCACTGTCTCATGTTTCACTGATGTCTCCCACAAGGCCTGGGGCCCTTCTGTCCTATGTGTCACTGATGTCTCCCACAAGGCCTGGGGCCCTCTGTCCCAAGTGTCACTGATGTCTCCCACAAGGCCTGGGGCCCTCTGTCTCATGTGTCACTGATGTCTCCCACAAGGCCTGGGGTCCTCTGTCCCATGTGTCACTGATGTCTCCCACAAGGCCTGGGGCCCTCTGTCCCATGTGTCACTGATGTCTCCCACAAGGCCAGGGGCCCTCAGTCCCATGTGTCACTGATGTCTCCCACAAGGCCTGGGGCCCTCTGTCCCATGTGTCACTGATGTCTCCCACAATGCCTGGGGCCCTCTGTCTCATGTGTCACTGATGTCTCCCACAAGGCCTGGGGTCCTCTGTCCCATGTGTCACTGATGTCTCCCACAAGGCCTGGGGCCCTCTGTCCAATGTGTCACTGATGTCTCCCACAAGGCCTGGGGCCCTCTGTCCCATGTGTCACTGATGTCTCCCACAATGCCTGGGGCCCTCTGTCCCATGTGTCACTAATGCCTCCCACAAGGCCTGGGGCCCTCTGTCCCATGTGTCACTGATGTCTCCCACAAGGCCTGGGGCCCTCTGTCGCATGTGTCACTGATGTCTCCCACAATGCCTGGGGCCCTCTGTCTCATGTGTCACTGATGTCTCCCACAAGGCCTGGGGCCCTCTGTCCCATGTGTCACTGATGTCTCCCACAAGGCCTGGGACCCTCTGTCCCATGTGTCACTGATGTCTCCCACAAGGCCTGGGGCCCTCTGTCCCATGTGTCACTGATGTCTCCCACAAGGCCTGGGGCCCTCTGTCCCATGTGTCACTGATGCCTCGAAAGTCAACTGATGCCTGGAGAGTCAACATATGGTGTTTAGGTTTCAATGTGAGGTTGCGTGTTTACATTACATGAAATAATAACTTAACCAAACATGCAGCTGTACTGTGATATGAGGTTCAAATATATTATATATCTACGCCTGTGAAATGAAACTGAAAGATCTATTGTTTCCTATAGCCCATGTATTGATGTGACGCTTAAACAAAATAGATGTTGGTACTGAGTTTTGTGTTGTAGGTCTTTGCAGTAGCCACTCAGACGCCACCTCTCACCATACGTGAGTTCATGCAACGCTTGCTTCCATACCAAAATAAAGTTATAATGTCAAAAATGTCTCGTTACAACATTGTGTGTACACATAGAATGACCTGGCAGACGCAGACTTGAACAGATGTTACATGTTATTCATTTCATACATTACACTGTTTTCCATTGTTTCCATTTCCACTCCAACCCGCTGCACTTACCATCGTGGTATAGCTGGCGGGTGGCGTTGGCACGTAGGCATATAATACTATGTTATGTAACATATTTTATGCTTCAGAATGTCTCTCAAATGGTAGTATATACATAACACAGAAGAAGACTTACGATGCCGAGATATTTGTGGTTGGAAACTTTCCCAGTTGTTCGGATGCTGTGCGACACTTCAGACTTGACTCTGGGAACCATTTGCTGAACACATCATGTAAAGTAAGGCGCCATGCTTGAATTCATAACATCATTTAAAACTTATACAGGGAATTAAATGCATTCCTCAACGTAGAAATACACGGTTTGCTTGTAAATAGCAATTGGCACCTCAAAAACCTTTTGATAGTAAATGTTATTGACCAATTCAGTTTCTTTACAACCACACATGAAGACACAGGGCTAATAATTCTGGTGACAGTGGTGGCTCATTGGGCGTGGTTCGAATACCAGATTCGCCCCAGTAATGGTCCCCGGTTTGCCACCGTCACACCAGGGGTCGCGTCAACGACGTGGAAAACCTCTTCGACAAGATTTACAACAGGAAACTGTTTGTTGACTGTACATAATGTTAACAATGAAAGCAAAGATTGACAGTATAAGGAATGGTTGAGCACACAGCATAGCTCAGCACTCATACCCCGCCAATTCTTCAGCAGCTTGTAGACCAATTCGAAACCAATGGCTGCGGATGTGTGCATCTGGCTGAATAAATAGAATAACCAGGCATACTAGTTATCTATAACAATCTAATATGAGTGGGTAATGGAGGGGGAGGGGGGTGTCATATAAACTATTGCAATAGTATTGGCAGAGTTCCAAACAGTACAACGATACCGCAAAAGTCCGTGTTATAAGGTCAGTTCCAAATTATATCGCTGAGGTTAACCCAGTAATCGTTACGTCCAGAACTAACTTGTTAGATCAGTAAATGACAACAAAAGATCAATGTCATTTCAATAAATTATACTGACACACAATAAATGAGGCAATACAGTGGGTCAAATGAGTTGTAGCAGCAACAGGTAACGAGCCCTATAACAGCTCCCAAATGTTCCAAATATTGCCACTGTTGAATGTCTTGAAAGAGGCCAGGCAAAGTATTTGAATCCAGAATAGGTTTGGGAAACAAGACAGGTCGAAAAGTCTTCGAAACGTCCCCTTGATGCTCTTCTATATAGATACAGCCATCCTTCTAAAACTATCCCTTCCGGAAACGTACTATTAGCTTGCCATGTACATGCCATAAGGGCAGATAACTCTTGTTCTACCACAAAACCATCTTGAAAACTCCACTGTTGACCGCAGTCTGGTCATAACAGCATTTGGTATTCTATCGGATTGGGTTAAGTCAGTGCATGATATTACCATTGGTACACTCTCTTTAAAATCAGATCTTAGTTCTCGCTACCTCTCGAGTGGACGGATGAAAGGTGATTGTGACGTGACCTATTATGGCATGTCCTCAGATCTTTGTTAAGCGGTAGCGAGAACTAACAGTTGATGTTAATTAGACTGTCATTGGTTAGATGCACAAATTGAAAAATAGGAAACAGAATAAACCCATTCTGTCCCTGCCAGCTGTCATCCAAAGTCTGGCTGTCCGACATGAAAGGTTTGTAGTTGTTCCCACTACAAGGCCTCAAATAGCATGACCATTACATGTAAGCATCACTACATTAACTGTTTGATCGAAGAGAACTTGGTATAAGTGACATATCACATAATGCCACATACAAGTCCAGTATGTTAACTAGAGAAGACATCTGCCTAAACCACACACCAGTACTATCGGCAGACACGCCCATTCCTCTGCTGCACTGGATTCCAAAACATCACAAAGATCCGTACAAAGAGAGCTATATTGCTGTACCACCAAATCACTGTCTCCAAGATGAACAATAATCAAGGAAGGACTTTCTGTATATTCACAGGCAGTATTTGAGATGAGTAGTTTCTCAAAAATTCAAATGAATTCAGAAAAGAACCAAGTACTATCTAATTGTAAATATGTGTTTCCTATGAAGTATTTATGGCAAAACTGTAGATCTTAAAAATAGTGCACGTTTAGTAAGGAAAATGTTATTTCATGCCAGATTGTCATAGTAAAGTTTATCTACGTAAGAATATATGAAGACTTGTTTCATAAACAATGAGTTCATTTAGCCATATTATTGTAGCGAGAACATATATGAACGTGTACAAGAATGTCAGAGTGTTGAACATACTTGGATTTGGGTCATGCTGTTGCAGTCGCTGAAGCTAATGGCAGTCTTGTGAATGCCGTGCATGCTCTAACACGACGTTCTATTTAACCAGGGCACGACTGGGTATGTCCTAGAGGTACTGAATTTCACCCAGACCACACACAGACCAGGCTTCACCTCGACAGTGTACAACGTCAACTGTACTTCTAACGTAACAGGCAACGCAAGTGTATTTACACTGGTAAACACAACGTGAGCAAGACTTAAACTCATTCTTTTGCGAATTGACCATTTTTGTTTCTTTTTCTTTAAAGAGATTTTAGTTTACTACAGGCGGAGAACAGCTGTCGTGAGATGAGCAATGATTTTATGTGTATAGGTCTGTCCAAATGCGTCTCTATGTTGAATTGCCATATTCCAGCTGTGTTGACGACCAAGCTTATATACCGAACTACCCGCTTTCCCCAAAAGTCCATAAAGGCAATTTATCATTCAGCTTAGAGACTAAAACCACAATGAAAATGTTTATCAACCAAGCAATACAAATGTAGCAATCTACATTTCCAGGGGGCCGAAAAGAGTTCTTATCTTACCTCGTTCGTTCAGTCAATTTGTAAATCACTCGATTCACAATACAAATTGCCTGTGATTGTGATTGATTTATTTGACTTATTGACAAATTGTACTATTATGTTTAACACGATCACAAATTAGGATTTTATACTCTTTATTTGTGTCAACTGACAAAAATGCATATTATATCAAATAACAAGTAGAATACATCATTAAAGAGGTATCACAGGACAGTAAACTGTTTTATTAACAGTAGAATCAGTCAATATGTCAAAAAAATATTTCTTTCTGGTAACTTGTGAAGTGACGGAGTGGTGGAGATCTGTGTTCAGCGTTAGGATAGTTATTTCCCGGATGTTTCAGAAACAGAAACAGGCCTACGAAGAGTCTAAATCCCTCCATGTAAATCTGTAAGTGAGGATTCTTGAGTGTGGCCAGTGAAGGGCATCAAGTCACGATGTTTTTTTATCATCTCAGAAACGTTTCGTTCTTGGAAGAGGTTGTACTGCCAAAGTTAAACGTTGCCATTTTGCCCGCAAACACAACGCTGAATTCATCAATGACATCAGCTAGCCTCAGTTCCATGTATCTGGGTCAAGAGGTCATGCTGACCATCTACAACGACGTGCCACAAGGTAAGGAGGGGTGGGGGCTGGGTGTGGGGGGTGGGGGGCAGGGGGGGAGCTTTGGTTCTGAAATGAAACCAGTGCAGAAATGAATTTGCATGTGTCACCTAAAGGAATGTCGCCAGTGTTAGTAACACAAGGTCTCAAATCGACGTTTATGACGTGTGACAAGGTTAAATAAATGTAATATGTGCCAAGCGGTATGATGTATGTCTTATGTGTCACACTGTGTGATCTATGTCTTATGTTCCACAAAGTGTGATCACAGTATTATGTGTCACACTGTGTGATCTAAGTATTATGTGTAGCACTGTGTGATCTCTGTCTTATGTGTCACACTGTGTGATCTATGTCTCCTGTGTCACCTTGTGCGATCTATGTCTTATGTGTCACACGATGTGATCTATGTCTTATGTGTCACACTGTGTGATCTATGTCTTATGTTCCACAAAGTGTGATCTATGTTTTATGGGTCACACGTTATGATCAATATCTTATGTATCACACAGTATAATCTATGTCTTTTATGTCACCATGTGTGATTGAAGTCATATGTGTCAAACAGTGTGATCTTTACCTTAAGTGTCACGCGGTTTGATCTATGTCTCATGTGTCAAACAGTAGGGAGTATATCTTATGTGTCACACAGTGTAATCTATGTTTTATGTGTCACAGGGAGTGATCTGTGTCTTATGTGTCACACAGTGTAATCTATGTCTTATGTTTCACGCGGTATGATCTATGTCTTATGTGTCACGCTGTGTGATCTATGTCTTACGTGTCACGCTGTGTGATCTATGTTTTATGTGTCACGTGGTGTGATCTATCTCTCATCTGTCACACGATGTGATCTATGTCTTATGTGTCGGACCGTGTGATCTATGTCATATGTGTCACAAGATGTGATCTATTTCGTATGTGTCACCAGGTGTGATCTGTGTTTATGTGTCACACTGTGTGATCTCTGTCTTATGTGTCCCACTGTGTGATCTAAGTATTATGTGTAGCACTGTGTGATCTCTGTCTTATGTGTCACATGGTGTGATCTATCTCTCATCTGTCACACGATGTGATCTATGTCTTATATGTCAAACAGTATAATCTATGTCTTATGTGTCACAAAATGTGATCTATTTCGTATGTGTCACCAGGTGTGACCTGTGTTTATGTGTCAAACGGTGTGATCTCTGTTTATGTGTCACATGGTGTGATCTGTGTCTTATGTGTCACACTGTGTGATCTATGTCTTATGTGTCACGTGGTGTGATCTATCTCTCATCTGTCACACGATGTGATCTATGTCTTATATGTCAAACAGTATAATCTATGTCTTATGTGTCACAAGATGTGATCTATTTCGTATGTGTCACCAGGTGTGACCTGTGTTTATGTGTCAAACGGTGTGATCTGTGTTTATGTGTCACATGGTGTGATCTGTGTCTTATGTGTCACACTGTGTGATCTATGTCTTATGTGTCACGTGGTGTGTCACACAGTATGATCTATATCTGAAGTGTCACACGGTGTGATAAAAGTCATACGTGTCACGCGGTATGATCTATGTCTTATGTGTCACACCATGTGAGCTATGTCTTATGTGTCACACGGTGTGATCTATTTCTTATGTGTCACGCGGTGTGATCTAAGTATTATGTGTCACACAGTATGATCTATATCTTATGTGTCACACGGTATGATCAATGTTTGATGTGTCACACGGTGTGATCTCTGTCTTATGTATCACACAGTATAATCTCTGTCTTTTATGTCACACGGTGTGATCTATGTCTTATGTGTCACGCGGTTTGATCTGTGTCGTACGTGTCTCACTGTGTGATCAAACTATTTTATGTAGCACTGTGCGATCTATGTCTTATGTGTCACACTGTGTGATCTATGTATTATGTGCCACAAAGTGTGATCTATGTCTATGTCTACGTCGACTGACTGACTGACTGACTGACTGTCCGACTGACTGACTGACTGACTGACTGACTGACTGACTGACTGACTGACTGACTGACTGTCCGACTGACTGACTGACTGACTGACTGTCCGACTGTCCGACTGACTGACTGACTGACTGACTGACTGACTGACTGTCCGACTGACTGACTGACTGACTGACTGACTGACTGACTGACTGTCCGACTGACTGACTGACCTCTCAATCAGTGACATGAGTAGTTCTAAATAATTGTTTTCAGTAATGATTCTGTTACAGCTGTAACAGTCAGTCAGCGTGGTAGTCAAATCCGGCTGTAGACCTGTATCTGTAGATCTGTCATTGTTAGTTTGTTAGTTTGTTCCCACATAGGCGGTATTTCCTATTTAACTGTTCAGTAGATGCGTGATGTGTTTACAGGGAGAGCCTCCTACATGCTTGTCCCCACGCTGTGTGAAGCCTATCCTACTGCCAACTCGTCAGTCAGACTCACACTACTGCACTGCGATCAAAAAGGGTAAGTGGGTAAGGTGCTAGATGGGTCTGCTGTATATGAAAGGAAATAATGTGTTTAATTTACATTTACACGATTGTGAGTGAGTCATCAGCTATTCGTCAACTGACTTATATAGTTCTAGGTGGATGTGGTGTGGAAAGCTACGAGTTCAACAAGTCAGAGATCAGCATCATTTTCAAACTGGTAGCGCATTTAAACTTGGACGAACTTCAAGCATACACCCATATCATGCTGAAAGAATCTATGACTTACCCATGATCTACCAAGAGTCACTAGGTTAGAGTTACAGGGGGAGAAGCATTTGTCAGTTACGAGCATACAGACGGGGGTAAACCTTACGCTGTTTACTATAAATTGTCCACATCCTTACTCTAACAACACCTACACGTGAACCCGTGTGTTGTATAGCAACACCTACACATGAACCCTGGTGTGTTTTATAACAACACCTACACGTGAACCCGTGTGTTTTATAGCAAGACCTACACGTGAACCCGTGTGTTTTATAACAACACCTACACGTGAACCAGTGTGTTTTATAACAACACCTACACGTGAACCCGTGTGTTTTATAACAAAACCCACACGTGAAGCAGTGTGTTTTATAGCAACACCCACACGTGAAGCAATGTGTTTTATAGCAACACCCACACGTGAACCCGTGTGTTGTATAGCAACACCTACACATGAACCCTGGTGTGTTTTATAACAACACCTACACGTGAACCCGTGTGTTTTATAACAACACCTACACATGAACCCTGGTGTGTTGTATAGCAACACCTACACATGAACCCTGGTGTGTTTTATAACAACACCTACACGTGAACCCGTGTGTTTTATAGCAACACCCACACGTGAAGCAGTGTGTTTTATAGCAACACCCACACGTGAAGCAATGTGTTTTATAGCAACACCCACACGTGAACCAATGTGTTTTATAGCAACACCCACACGTGAAGCAGTGTGTTTTATAACACCTACACGTGAAGCAGTGTGTTTTATAGCAACACCTACACGTGAACCAGTGTGTTTAATGGCAACACCTACACGTGAAGCAGTATGTTTTATAACAACACCTACACGTGAACCCGTGTGTTTTATAGCAACACCCACACGTGAAGCAGTGTGTTTTATAACACCTACACGTGAAGCAGTGTGTTTTATAGCAACACCTACACGTGAACCCGTGTGTTTTATAGCAACACCCAAATAGTATAAATAGTACAATAACCTTTCCTAAAACCAGCTTGAGAGTCACAAATTTTATCATACGCATCAGACCAGAACGTAAGTCTTGAATTAAGTACAGATACATAAAGTTTACAAAAAGTGCTGAGCAGGGAGATACCACGGTAGTTATTGGGATTTGAGTAATCGCCCTTCTTATGCACAGGTATGATAACACCAGTACACCACGACTCGGGAAACGAACCATTTTCAAATAAAATATTAAAAAAGGTTGCTAGGTATGGTACTATTAAATCACTTGATGTTCTATAACAACACCTACACGTGAACCCGTGTTTTTTATAGCAACACCTACACGTGAACCCGTGTGTTTTATAACAACACCTACACGTGAACCCGTGTGTTTTATAGCAACACCTACACGTGAAGCAGTGTGTTTTATAGCAACACCCACACGTGAAGCAATGTGTTTTATAGCAACACCCACACGTGAACCAATGTGTTTTATAGCAACACCCACACGTGAAGCAGTGTGTTTTATAACACCTACACGTGAAGCAGTGTGTTTTATAGCAACACCTACACGTGAACCAGTGTGTTTAATGGCAACACCTACACGTGAAGCAGTATGTTTTATAACAACGCCTACACGTGAACCCGTGTGTTTAATAGCAACACCCACACGTGAAGCAGTGTGTTTTATAACACCTACACGTGAAGCAGTGTGTTTTATAGCAACACCTACACGTGAACCCGTGTGTTTTATAGCAACACCCAAATAGTATAAATAGTACAATAACCTTTCCTAAAACCAGCTTGAGAGTCACAAATTTTATCATACGCATCAGACCAGAACGTAAGTCTTGAATTAAGTACAGATACATAAAGTTTACAAAAAGTGCTGAGCAAGGATACCACGGTAGTTATTGGGATTTGAGTAATCGCCCTTCTTATGCACAGGTATCATAACACCAGTACACCACGACTCGGGAAACGAACCATTTTCAAATAAAATATTAAACAAGGTTGCTAGGTATGGTACTATTAAATCACTTGATGTTCTATAACAACACCTACACGTGAACCCGTGTCTTTTATAGCAACACCTACACGTGAACCCGTGTGTTTTATAACAACACCTACACGTGAAGCCGTGTGTTTTATAACAACACCTACACGTGAAGCCGTGTGTTTTATGGCAACACCTACACGTGAACCAGTGTGTTTTATAGCAAAACCTACACGTGAACCCGCGTGTTTTATAGCAACACCTACACGTGAAGTCGTGTTTTATGGCAACACCTACACGTGAAGACGTCTTTCATAGCAACACCTACACGTAAACCAGTGTGTTTTATAGGAACACCTACACGTGAACCAGTGTGTTTTATAACAACACCTACACGTGAAGCCGTGTGTTTTATAGCAACACCTACACGTGAAGTCGTGTTTTATGGCAACACCTACACGTGAACCAGTGTGTTTTATAGCAAAACCTACACGTGAACCCGTGTGTTTTATAACAACACCTACACGTGAAGCCGTGTGTTTTATAACAACACCTACACGTGAAGCCGTGTGTTTTATGGCAACACCTACACGTGAACCCGTGTCTTTTAAAGCAACACCTACACGTGAACCCGTGTGTTTTATAACAACACCTACACGTGAACCCGTGTGTTTTATAACAACACCTACACGTGAAGCCGTTTGTTTTATGGCAACACCTACACGTGAACCCGTGTGTTTTATAGCAAAACCTACACGTGAACCCGCGTGTTTTATAGCAACACCTACACGTGAAGTCGTGTTTTATGGCAACACCTACACGTGAAGACGTCTTTCATAGCAACACCTACACGTAAACCAGTGTGTTTTATAGGAACACCTACACGTGAACCAGTGTGTTTTATAAAAACACCTACACGTGAAGCCGTGTGTTTTATAGCAACACCTACACGTGAAGTCGTGTTTTATAGCAACACCTACACGTGAACCCGCGTGTTTTATGGCAACACCTACACGTGAACCAGTGTGTTTTATAGCAACACGTACCCATGAACCCGTGTGTTTTATAGCAACACCTACACGTGAAACAGTGTGTTTTATAACAACACCTACACGTGAAGCCGTGTGGTTTATGGCAACACCTACACGTGAACCAGTGTGTTTTATAACAACACCTACACATGAACCAGTGTGTTTTATAGCAAGACCTACACGTGAACCCGTGTGTTTTATAACAACACCTACACGCGAGCCAGTGTGTTTTATAGCAACACCTACACATGAACCAGTGTGTTTTATAACAACACCAACACATGAACCAGTGTGTTTTATAGCAACACCTACACGTGAACCAGTGTGTTTTATAGCAACACCTACACGCGAGCCAGTGTGTTTAATAGCAACACCTACTCGTGAAGCAGTGTGTTTTATAACAACACCTACACATGAACCAGTGTGTTTTATAGCAACACCCACACGTGAAGCAGTGTGTTTTATAGCAACACCTACACGTGAAGCAGTGTGTTTTATAACAACACCTACACATGAACCAGTGTGTTTTATAGCAACACCCACACGTGAAGCAGTGTGTTTTATAGCAACAACAACACGTGAACCAGTGTGTTTTATAGCAACACCTACACGTGAACCCGTGTTTTATAGCAACACCTACACGCGAGCCAGTGTGTTTTACAACAACACTTACACATGATCCAGTGTGTTTTATGGCAAGACCCACACGTGAACCCGTGTGTTTTATAACAACACATAAACGTGAACCCGTGTTTTATAACAACACCTACACATGAACCAGTGTGTTTTATAGCAACACCTACACGTGAACCCGTGTGTTTTATAACAACACCTACACGTCACACGTGTGTTTTATAGCAACAACAACACGTGAACCAGTGTGTTTTATGGCAACACCTTCTAATGAACCAGTGTGTTTTATATCAAAACCAACATGTGAACCCGTGTGTTTTATAAAAAAAACACCTACACGTAACACGTGTGTTTTATAACAACAACAACACGTTAACCCGTGTGTGTAAAAGCAAGAGTCCTGTCAGCACGCGTGTTATATAGCATCGACATTGAGAGCATGTGTGTTTGTGACGTTGTGAGTACGTATGTGTTACAGCAGGGAAGCTGTGAGTATATGTGTTTTATAGCAGGGACGTTGTAAGTACGTGTGTTTGATAGTAGGGCCGTTGTGAGTACGTGTGTTATAGCAGGGACATGGTAAGTACGTGTGTTTGATAGTAGGGCCGTTGTGAGTACGTGTAAATAGTACAATAACCTTTCCTAAAACCAGCTTGAGAGTCACAAATTTTATCATACGCATCAGACCAGAACGTAAGTCTTGAATTAAGTACAGATACATAAAGTTTACAAAAAGTGCTGAGCAAGGAGATACCACGGTAGTTATTGGGATTTGAGTAATCGCCCTTCTTATGCACAGGTATGATAACACCAGTACACCACGACTCGGGAAACGAACCATTTTCAAATAAAATATTAAACAAGGTTGCTAGGTATGGTACTATTAAATCACTTGATGTTCTATAACAACACCTACACGTGAACCCGTGTGTTTTATAGCAACACCTACACGTGAACCCGTGTGTTTTATAACAACACCTACACGTGAAGCCGTGTGTTTTATAACAACACCTACACGTGAAGCCGTGTGTTTTATGGCAACACCTACAAGTGAACCCGTGTGTTTTAAAGCAACACCTACACGTGAACCCGTGTGTTTTATAACAACACCTACACGTGAACCCGTGTGTTTTATAACACCACCTACACGTGAAGCCGTTTGTTTTATGGCAACACCTACACGTGAACCAGTGTGTTTTATAGCAAAACCTACACGTGAACCCGCGTGTTTTATAGCAACACCTACACGTGAAGTCGTGTTTTATGGCAACACCTACACGTGAAGACGTCTTTCATAGCAACACCTACACCTGAACCAGTGTGTTTTATAGGAACACCTACACGTGAACCAGTGTGTTTTATAACAACACCTACACGTGAAGCAATGTGTTTTATAGCAACACCTACACGTGAAGTCGTGTTTTATAGCAACACCTACACGTGAACCCGCGTGTTTTATGGCAACACCTACACGTGAACCAGTGTGTTTTATAGCAACACCTACACATGAACCAGTGTGTTTTATAGCAACAGCTACACGTGAAGCAGTGTGTTTTATAACAACACCTACACGTGAAGCCGTGTGGTTTATGGCAACACCTACACGTGAACCAGTGTGTTTTATAGCAACACCTACACGTGAAGTCGTGTTTTATGGCAACACCTACACGTGAAGCCGTGTGTTTTATAGCAAAACCTACACGTGAACCCGCGTGTTTTATAGCAACACCTACACGTGAAGTCGTGTTTTATGGCAACACCTACACGTGAAGACGTCTTTCATAGCAACACCTACACGTGAACCCGTGTGTTTTATAGCAACACCTACACGTGAACCAGTGTGTTTTATAGCAACACCTACACGTGAAGCAGTGTGTTTTATAACAACACCTACACGTGAAGCCGTGTGGTTTATGGCAACACCTACACGTGAACCAGTGTGTTTTATAGCAACACCTACACGTGAACCCGCGTGTTTTATAGCAACACCTACACGTGAAGTCGTGTTTTATGGCAACACCTACACGTGAAGCCGTGTGTTTTATAGCAACACCTACACGTGAACCAGTGTGTTTTATAACAATACCTACACATGAACCAGTGTGTTTTATAGCAACACCTACACGTTAAGCAGTGTGTTTTATAACAACACCTACACATGAACCCGCGTGTTTTATAACAACACCTACACATGAACCAGTGTGTTTTATAGCAACACCTACACGTGAAGCAGTGTGTTTTATAACAACACCTACACATGAACCCGCGTGTTTTATAGCAACACCCACACGCGAGCCAGTGTGCTTTATAGCAACACCTACACGTGAAGCAGTGTGTTTTATAACAACACCTACACGTGAAGTCGTGTTTTATGGCAACACCTACACGTGAAGCCGTGTGTTTTATAGCAACAACTACACGTGAACCCGCGTGTTTTATAGCAACACCTACACGTGAGCCAGTGTGTTTTATAACAATACCTACACATGAACCAGTGTGTTTTATAGCAACACCTACACGTTAAGCAGTGTGTTTTATAACAACACCTACACATGAACCCGCGTGTTTTATAACAACACCTGCACATGAACCCGCGTGTTTTATAGCAACACCTACACATGAACCAGTGTGTTTTTTAACAACACCTACACGTGAACCAGTGTGTTTTATAACAACACCTACACATGAACCAGTGTGTTTTATAGCAACACCTACACGTGAAGCAGTGTGTTTTATAACAACACCTACACATGAACCGCGTGTTTTATAGCAACACCCACACGCGAGCCAGTGTGTTTCATAGCAACACCTACACGTGAAGCAGTGTGTTTTATAACAACACCTACACATGAACCAGTGTGTTTTATAGCAACACCTACACGTGAACCCGTGTGTTTTATAACAACACCTACAAGCGAGCCAGTGTGTTTTATAGCAACACCTACACATGAACCAGTGTGTTTTATAACAACACCAACACATGAACCAGTGTCTTTTATAGCAACACCTACACGTGAACCAGTGTGTTTTATAGCAACACCTACACGCGAGCCAGTGTGTTTAATAGCAACACCTACACGTGAAGCAGTGTGTTTTATAACAACACCTACACATGAACCAGTGTGTTTTATAGCAACACCCACACGTGAAGCAGTGTGTTTTATAGCAACACCTACACGTGAAGCAGTGTGTTTTATAGCAACACCTACACGTGAACCCGTGTGTTTTATAACAACACCTACACATGAACCAGTGTGTTTTATAGCAACACCCACACGTGAAGCAGTGTGTTTTATAGCAACACCTACGCGTGAAGCAGTGTGTTTTATAGCAACACCCACACGTGAAGCAGTGTGTTTTATAGCAACACCTACACGTGAAGCAGTGTGTTTTATAACAACACCTACACATTAACCCGTGTGTTTTATAGCAACAAGAACACGTGAACCAGTGTGTTTTATAGCAACACCTACACGTGAACCCGTGTTTTATAGCAACACCTACACGCGAGCCAGTGTGTTTTACAACAACACTTACACATGATCCAGTGTGTTTTATGGCAAGACCCACACGTGAACCCGTGTGTTTGATAACAACACATAAACGTGAACCTGTGTTTTATAACAACACCTACACATGAACCAGTGTGTTTTATAGCAACACCTACACGTGAACCCGTGTGTTTTATAACAACACCTACACGTCACACGTGTGTTTTATAGCAACAACAACACGTGAACCAGTGTGTTTTATGGCAACACCTACTAATGAACCAGTGTGTTTTATATCAAAACCAACATGTGAACCCGTGTGTTTTATAAAAAAAACACCTACACGTAACACGTGTGTTTTATAACAACAACAACACGTTAACCCGTGTGTGTAAAAGCAAGAGTCCTGTCAGCACGCGTGTTATATAGCATCGACATTGAGAGCATGTGTGTTTGTGACGTTGTGAGTACGTATGTGTTATAGCAGGGATGCTGTGAGTATATGTGTTTTATAGCAGGGACGTTGTAAGTACGTGTGTTTGAAAGTAGGGCCGTTGTGAGTACGTGTGTTATAGCAGGGACATGGTAAGTACGTGTGTTTGATAGTAGGGCCGTTGTGAGTACGTGTGTTATAGCAGGGACGTTGTGAGTACGTGTGTTATAGCAATGACGTTGTGAGTACGTGTGTTTGATAGGAGGGACGTTGTGAGTACGTGTGTGTTATAGCAGGGACGTTGTGAGTACGTGTGTGTTATAGCAGGGACGTTGTGAGTACGTGTGTTTGATAGCAGGGACGCTGTGAGTACGTGTGTTTTATAGCAGGGACGTTGTGAATATGTATGTTTAATAGCAGGGACGTTGTGAATATGTATGTTCAATAGCAGGGACGCTGTGAGTACGTGTGTTTTGTAGTGGGGACCTTGTGAGTATGTGTGTGCTTTAACAGGGACATTGTGATAGCCGTGTGTTCTAGGAGGGACGCTGTGAATACGTGTGTGTTATAGCAGGGACGCTTTGAACACGTGTGTATTATAGCAGGGACGCTGTGAGTACGTGTGTTTTATAGGAGGGACGTTGTGAGTACGTGTGTGTTACATAGCAGGGACGTTGTGAGTACGTGTGTTTTATAGCAGGGACGTTGTGACTACGTGTGTGTTATAGCAGGGACGTTGTGAGTACGCGTGTTTTATAGCAGGGACGCTGTGAGTACGTGTGTTTTATAGGAGGGACGTTGTGACTACGTGTGTGTTATAGCAGGGACGTTGTGAGTACGCGTGTTTTATAGCAGGGACGCTGTGAGTACGTGTGTTTTATTGCAGGGACGTTGTGAGTACGTGTGTGTTTTATAGCAGGGACGTTGTGAGTACGTGTGTGTTATTGCAGGGACGTTGTGAGTACGCGTGTTTTATAGCAGGGACGTTGTGAGTACGTGTGTTACATAGCAGGGACGTTGTGAGTACGCGTGTTTTATAGCAGGGACGTTGTGAGTACGCGTGTTTTATAGCAGGGACGTTGTGAGTACGCGTGTTTTATAGGAGGGACGTTGTGAGTACGCGTGTTTTATAGCAGGGACGTTGTGAGTACGCGTGTTTTATAGCAGGGACGTTGTGAGTACGCGTGTTTTATAGGAGGGACGTTGTGAGTACGCGTGTTTTATAGCAGGGGCGTTGTGAGTGCGTGTGTTTTATAGCAGGGATGTTGTGAGTACGTGTGTGTTATAGCAGGGACGTTGTGAGTACGTGTGTTTTATAGCAGGGACATTGTGAGTACGCGTGTTTTATAGCAGGGACGTTGTGAGTACGTGTGTTTTATAGCAGGGACATTGTGAGTACGTGTGTTTTATAGCAGGGACGTTGTGAGTACGTGTTTTTTATAGCAGGGACGTTGTGAGTACGTGTGTTTCATAACGGAGGTTGTGAGTACGTGTATTTGATAGAGGGGACATTACTGACTGTCATGTAAGATACCCGCCTTTTTATTGAACAGATGCACAAAGGAGGATGGCGTTATCGGTCAGTTCACCACTGAAACGATTAATGACGTTGATGTAGCGTGGGCTCCCATGTACGGCTTCATTTTCGCCGGCCATCCGGACTCCGACCTCGTCATAGACTGCTCGGTGCTCGTGTGCCCAGACATATCACACGGCCACCCTGGACGATTCGTGGTAATAGCATGTTTCGAGATATATGTTAGTGACTGAGTGAGTTTGATTTAACACCGCTTTGAACAGTATGTCAGTTTTATCAGGGCGTGTCAGCTTCATGTGGGAGGAAAGCCTGAAGTGATGCAGGTGTTAGACCACGTAGGTGAAACCCACGCGCATGGATATGGAGCTGAGAACATAGAAACATAATCAGGGCGAACCGGGATTCGTAACTACGATCATTGTTTTCGAAAACGCCTGAGGGACGCTTTAGACGAATTGGATACCAGTGCCAGTTAGATGTATATGAACGTCAAATATGAACACATGTGCCAAATACAACACAGCTTTACGTTTTTGTAAGTTTTAATTCGGACGTCAGGTCAGTCATTTCATTTGACAAGGGTATTCAAAGCTACAATTGTTCAACTGTCTTAGGGGCGGTGGGGTAGCCTAGTGTTTAAAGCGTTCGCTCGTCACGCCGAAGACCCGGGTTCAATTCCTTACATTGGTTCAATGTTAATGCCCATTTCTGGATCCTCCGCCGTGATATAGCTAAAAGCGGCGTAAAACCATATTCACTCACTCACTCCACTGTCTTAGATTGCGAGGACAACTTGCTGAGCGGAGATGACAGAATGACGGAACAACAGGCCACGGTGGCGTCAGAGTCGCCTCAATGTGTGGCATATATTATATACAGTACTAAACAACACTCACTCACAAACTTCGTTTGCTGCGTTACGAGGTGATTACCAAATTGAAACGCGGATGTTAACCCAGAAATGGTGAAATCAGTATATGGGCACACAAGATCAATGAATAATCAATTTTCATTATACTGAAACACAGTTTTGGTTTAACAATCACAAAAGACAACACAGTGGGTCAAATACGTGGCAGCAGCAGCAGTGAGTAGTCCCTACACTATATGTCAGTGCACTCACGACTGGGCAGGATGTTTCACTGTCGAATGTCTTGAAACAGGCATCTGATCTGTAGCCCGAAATCGTGTTGGAAGCTGGCAGGAATTCGAGGTTTTCAGACTGGTATCCAATCCGCAAGACACTACTCGCTCCTAATATGTACAGCCAGCCTTCAATAAGTTGTCCCAAACTTACAAAATCTTTACTGCCATATAACACTATGTCATGTGTGTATACTAGTCACAACAACAACACGTATCCCTGGCAGCATCACGTTTTCAATTAGTGTGCAAACGTATGTGATTATAACAACGAAGCCCTTCAGTGTCTTTGCATGTTTCAAAAACATAAAAAAAATTAAAAAATATTTACTCAGATAAATTTATTGAATATCCATGGTAAACAACTGGAATGTTAATGTTAGTGGGCGCCGTTTCGTATTTAAAAACAAAATATCTTTGTTTCTCTGACCAGACAAACAATGGTTGCAAAAAGACGACAAGCAACAGCCGACGTCGGAAGCGTCGTGTCGGTATGTCACGTGACATCATCCATGCTAAAACAGGCACAGCACGAACCAGGGTTAAGCTGAAGAACAGCCTAGCAAAAAGCGGTAAGTCTTATCACATGGAAACGACATTTGAGTGGAATCCTGGCCAGAAATTGGCCAATATTTCATCATTGGCAATATCTGTAGAAAGATGCAGACGTATACAAAACCATACATGAAGCAGCGTTGTCGAAGACTCCATCGGTGTTATTGTTTTGGTTTGGTTTGGTTTGTTGTTTAACGTCGCACTCAGCAAAATTCCAGCTATATGACGGCGGTCTGCAAATAATCGAGTCTGGACCAGACAATCCAGTGATTAACATCCTGAGCATCGATCCATGCAATTGGAATACGATGACATGCATCAACCAAGTCAGCGATCCTGACCACCCGATCCCGTTAGTCGCCTCTTACGACAAGCATAGTCGCCTTTTACGGCAAGCATGGGTTGTCATCGGTGTTATGACCGTTCGGGATGGCTGAAGCTAAATGTGATTGTCTGCGTTCACGGATTTGGTTGCTTATTATTTTCAACATAATCTCTCCGAAGTCCACACACTTCTGCCAAAGATACTGAAGTGCCTGGATCCCACTTCTTCCTGCACTGAAATGACGTCATCCTCATTTGCATAATGCTTGCAAGACAGTTCTTTCTTCAAGTTTGTCAAGCGGTGGAAATCTGACGGTGCCAAATCTGGTGAATACGGAGTTTCAATGAGTTCAAAGCCACAGTCATGCATTGCATCCATGGTAACTGGCTTGTGCACAGGTGCTTTGTCCTGTTGAAACAACACACTTTTAGTAGGTTTCCGATACGTTTAGCCTTGACTTAGCAGATTAGCATAACATTAGCCACTAATGGTTGAACCTTTCGGGAGGCGGTCTCCCAGTAGGATTCCTTCTGAATCCAAGGAAACCGAAGGCATTGCCATTGGAAAACTACTTCGGGTGAGAAGACGTTACATGTTTCCACTGTTTTGACTATTGTTTAATTTCTGGCTGATAGTAGTGAACCGAATACTCATTCATGGTTACGAATCACTCAACAACATCTGCTTCAAAACGACGTACATTCTCACAGAGATGATGGACCTGGGACGTTTCTGATCAGGAACCCAGCGTGCTGAAACTTTTGTCATGCCCAGTTCATTCCTCAGAATGTTCTCAACTCTCTCATGAGAGATGCCTAATGCTATCTGACGTGTGATGTCGCCCGTCATACATAACCATATGTATACTCAACAACAAAAGTTCCTGTGACACCAATATTTTAGTGTATTTTTCAAACAAGTAAAGTTTGGTTTTCAATATTGTAGTACATGTATGGAATCAAGTCGAACAGCTACAGAAAAGTTGACTTTTATGCAAGCCCCATGCAGTTCACTACCCAAGAATGGGTATAAAAACATGTGCGTTAACGGGATTCCATGTGCATTGTTTAGCATCGTGCTGACAACATCCACTCAGAAAAACAACAAAATTACGCATATCATTATTCAACATTACGAAATGCCACGCCTGTCCGAAAATGAGCGTCTGCGAGCTATTGGTATGCTTGAAGCAGGATCGAGTCAACGTGATGTTGCAAGACGATTTAACGTCCACAGAAACACCATTTGGTGTTTATGGCAACGTTGGCAACAGACGAATGCAGTCAGAGACCATCCTCGGAGTGGCAGGCCACGCGTAATCAATAATCGACAACTGGATTCGAACAACACATATACGAAATCGATTCCAGCCAGCAACAGTGACTGCAAGATACATCCCTGGCCTTCGACGAATATCTTCACAAACTGTACGTCGCCGCCTCAGATGTGCAGGGATTGTCGACCCGCCAGACGCCCCATTTTGACAGGAAACCACCGTCAAGCACGTCTACAGTGGTGCAGACAGCGTCTACGCTGGACGACCATGCAGTGGGGACAAGTTCTATTCACTGACGAGTCTCGTTTTCACCTCAGCCACAGCGATGGACGGATTCGAGTGTTCCGACGTCGAGGTGAACGTTACGTCAATCATTGTGTCATGTAAGAAGATCGGTTCGGAGGCGGCAGCGTAATGGTATGGGGTGGGATTGCAGCAAGTCAGAGGACCCGTTTGATAGTGGTAGAGGGAAATCTCAATGGACAGCGCTACCGCGACGAGATCATCGGCCCTGTTGTTCTACCGTTTTTGCGTCGTCATGGCCCAGGCATTACCTTTCATCATGACACCGTCCGGCCTCATATTGCTCTGCTGGTTCAGGATTCTCTTTAACAAAACAACGTGAATTTCACCCCCTGGCCGGCTCGCTCCCCTGATCTCTCACCAATCGAGCACATGTGGGATGAGATGGATCGGCGCCTTCGACGTCAACCACGTGTTCTACAGACACTCCAGGAACTTCGAAACATGCTCCAGCAGATATGGACAGATATCCCACAGGACTTTGTGCGACGCCTGGCCAATTCCATGAGACGAAGATGTGTTGCTTGCATCGCAACCAGAGGTGGACACACACGCTATTGCTTTGTAAATTGACATTTTGGCATGTTCATGTTTTTTTATGAATCACGCATTTTCTGAAGTCAGTATGGCAAATTCAATCATTTGAACACATACAGGAATCTTTTATCTGTTGTTTCAGATTTGGTAAAAAACATAACTTTGCATTAAATCTTATTCAATGTCAGGGGAACTTTTGTCGTTCAGTATATTTTATCAACAATGTCCTTAGTAGCGGCAGTAGTTGATGGCATCGGTCTAGTACCGCTCCTGGCTTCTGATTGGTCGAGAGGATCACGTGACCTCTGATGACGTCACTTCCGGTGCGCATCCAAGATGACGGGACATCCGTTTCCGGTGGCGTGTGCATCCAAGATGGAGTCACATCCGTTTCCGGCGGCGTGCGCATCCAAGATGGCGTCACATCCGTTTCCGATGGTGCGCGCATCCAAGATGGCGTCACATCAGTTTCCCGTGGCGTGGGCACCTCCAAGAGGGCGTCGCATCCGTTTCCGGTTGTGTGCGCATCCGTTTCCGGTGGCGTCACATCCGTTTCCGGTGGCGTGCGCACCTCCAAGAGGGCGTCGCATCCGTTCCCGGGGGGGGGGGGGGGGGGGGGGGGGGGCGGTGGGGAGAGAAGGGGAAAAACCCAGAGAAGCGGTCGTAAAAGGTGAACAAGATCGACATTGTTGTTCTAAAAATAGAAAAAAGGCGGTGGTGGTGGAGGGAGGGAGGAGGAGGTGGGTTCTTTGTTTGGGTTTGAGGGTCGTCAAAGCAAACGTCAAAGAACAACAATGTCGATCTTGTTCACCTTTTACGGCCGCTTCTCTGGGTTTTTCCCCTTCCCTCCTCCCCGGGAACGGATGCGACGCCCTCATGGAGGTGCGCACGCCACCGGAAACGGATGTGACGCCATCTTGGATGCGCGCACCACCGGAAACGGATGTTACGCCTTCTTGGATGGGCACGCCACCGGAAACGGCTGTGACGCCCTCTTGGAGGCGCACGCCACCGGAAACGGATGTGCCGCCATCTTGGATGCGCATGCCATCGGAAACGGATGTGCCGCCATCTTGGATGCGCACGCATGAACCGGATGCGCACCGGAAGTGACATCATCAGAGGTCACGTGATCCTCTCGACCAATCAGAAGCCAGGAGCGGTACTAGACCGATGCCACCAACTAATAGCGGCAGTTTCCCTGATCTTAAACGTGAATCATCTTCGAGGCTATCTTTTCCCCTGTTGAACTCCACTGCCCAACTCTTTACAAAGGCACAGGAAGGAGCATTCACGCCTGAAGTTGGTACAATGTCCGCACGGCTGGCTGTTGGAGTTAGCTCTCTCAGTTGGAGATACTTGATTGATGACAATGTGGTAGCTAATATTGCCAATACATTCACCGAAAGAGAATTGATACCTGCAGTAATATGCTGCCTGGTATTTGTTTTAACTGCCGTCTGTAAACACTGAACGTATTGCACACTGTTAAGGGTGTTTCAACCACCCTTCATAGGAGTGCTTTGTATTCCTTGATACACTCTTCAGAACTTTTTAAAACTATGCCATCAAACATACTTTTTCACTATTCCTTCAAATATATTTTTTTATGAGCTCGTATTGTAATATTGAATACACCCACACCAAAAATGGGTTTTTCAGATTAAAAACGATGTTTTATTGGTCTGTTGTCAGTCGTACAAATGGGTATCTCATACCTCTAGTCGCACGTTAAAAGGAAGCCAGAAGCTGGAATGTAAACAATAAACTTGTTTCCGTCCGATTGCGCACGCACCTCCCTATGACATGTCACAAATCTCGAAGAATAAGCCATCCAGCAGGACTGGACTGGATTACTTCCCAGTGGGGATGGCTGGGTGGGAACGTACGACTGAAAACAGACCAATAAAACATCGTTTTTAATCTGAAAAACCCATGTTTTAGTCTGTTTTCAGTCGTACAAATGGGTAGAGGTAGAATTCGATGGAACACTGGAAGGAGGGTCGGGAAAGTAATCAGGAAGTGACCTCTTTCACGTCGAATGTACCAAGTTCCTCACCCCTGTAGTGACAATAGAACATTCGACCAGATGCACGGACGAGACAAATTGTTTATCACGAACGCACAGCATGGTTAATGCTCATCGACACACAACTAATTATCGATGCGATAGGACAACTGCACACGACAGTTGAATTGCGATCGAAGTGTGGACGGAATATAATTTAGTTTCAGAACAACTCGCAGTATACAAGGTAACTAAAACAGCATGGTTAATGCTCTTCGACCCACAAGTAAGTATCGATGCGACAAGACAACAGCACACGTCAGTTGAATTGCGATCGAAGTGGTCGACGTATAGTTTAGTTACAGAGCAACTCGCAGTATACAAGGTAACTAAAAAATACGAGCAGTACTATAAAGTATGGGAAGACGATGCAAACACCGAATAACCATAATAAACAGCCGAAGTACTGCATGCAACAAAAACCATAAGAATGCGTACATTCACCAACAGTTTTGGCGAAACCGCATTATCGGTGGTTCGAGAAGGGAGCTAACTCCGTTTGCCTAAT